AGTTACTTTCGCCTCATCACTGAGTAATACAGCTGAGAATTTCCAGTGTCTATAGTCTAAACCAGACGCTATTATGGGTCACCATCATGAACTGACATCGGTTAGAGAACCATTTGAAAACCTGCAAGGAGTACTGGACAGACAGCTGTTTCGTCCCAGTTTTAGACTCCTCATCAGTATGCCCCCACCGTCAGGGTTTGAACCCAGGATCTCCCGGTGACAAGGCCCGCGAACTCGTAGACCATTAAGCCACTGGGACCCAACCGATCCAATGACCGGCCCATGAATTCTAACTTGTGCCAAATCACGACATAGCGCGACCACTTAGCAATGTCTTCTTCGATGAGTAACTGTCCTCACCTTCGATCTATTGTTTATTCTATTTAAAGATATACAGTCTGAATAACCACATGTTCTCAAACTTTAGAAAAAAAAAAGAAAAAAATATAAGTACATAGATAGTTTTAACCCTTTCAAACAGTGGGAATAGGAAAACTCCCTTCAATATAAAAAGTAAAACTAATTGGTTAAGAATTTCAAAGTAAATTATATACAAATATCCCTCTATTTATAATATACACATGTATATATACAAATGTATATAAATATATAGTGTTATAGAGAAAAAAAAGAAAAAGAACCATTCTTATGGTGTAAAAATTATAATAATTTAATCATAATCATCCTATTGGTTAGTTACATTACAGGCTGTTTCACTTCACTCCACTCCACTCCACTCCACCCCACCCTGCCTACCAGTGACTATTCTATCTATCTATCTATCTCCTAACTGACATATTAAAATGCTATAAAAAGGCTTCCCACTCAAGGTTAATATGAAGCGGGAATAAGCAATTTCAATCTCTGGGATTAATCTATAGATCATTTAGGCAAGATTAAAGTGATAAATTGATTCGATAGTCTCAGAATCGGAATATAATGATAATAATGATAATGATAATAATAATACTTTAAATATTAATAATGTTTTCTGGCGTCAAATACTAGTCTGAGGTATGAAATAATTGATTATTCCATTGGGTTCCCAACGGAACATACCTGGGGGATTTTATCCTGTTCACCGGGATCCTCTTTAATTCATCGCATGATTTTCCATAAGCTTTCAGCTCCCCCCTCCTCCTCCTCGCCACACGACGTCCTTCACGTCACCTGGTATAGAAACTTCAAAATACTGAAAATTCGAGTCGTGTATTATATATATATATATGTACCAAATGTAGGAGATACTCCTGAAAGTGATCAGGGATTAGGAATGGTTACGTCATTCAGATAGTAAGAGTAAATAAGCATTTCCTGTGTAGCTGACAGGTACTTTCAGAATAGTTGTATTGAAACAAAAACGGTGGGCTTGGTTTATTGATATTTGACTGGTATTCATTCACACTAGTATTATGCTTACACTTAGTAATAATGTTGATAGCTTCGTTTCAAAGCTTTTTTTGATGTCATGTATAGGTATATCTTTTTTATTTGAATTTTCCCTTTATATTTAAATGAACTCAAGTTTACACATTGAAAATTGACAAGGGAAAGTAGTTTTAAAACAGTTTTATGTTATGTATTTGCTAGATTTAGTTAGGATTCATAAGAATAAGAATGAAATAGTTAGCTGGAAATCAGTTATACGTATTCATTTAAATCCTGTCTTGTAAAGGTAGATTACTCATAGTATAATCATGCATGATCTCGTCAAGAATATGAATGATTGAATGTGATCAGCGTGAGAGTAGAGAAAGTTGAGATAAGAACAAGATTTTGACACTGTTGTAGACTATAATTCCATCATTATCATCCTCATATATGATCATATTTTCCATATATCTGGGTATTTTTAATGATTCATTCCTATTAGAATGTGTTAAGTATAGATTCGATGAAAAAAGAATCAATAATCAATCAATAAATCAATCACTCAATCTCCCTCACTCTCGCCTTATACCCTATGATGGTTTTATTATAACTATAAAATGGATTACAATAAGTGAAAATTTTGATTGTTCATGTTATTCAGGAGTAAACGGTGTTGAAATATTCATCGCTTGATTATTATTTGTATCTATTCAGTTTGTTAGTTTAAGTCGTATACTGCGCCATCGAAAGTTTTCAGCTTCAGTTGGTAATCAGCAGTAATAAGCCAATGAATAACATTAGCTTATTAAACTGAAACTGAGCTGTTGTCATCAACTATTCCATGGTATACACGCTTAAGTTTCGCATAATAATAATGCTATTTAATTGATTCTAGCTAACATTGGGATCTAGAACTTGAGTTTAATCATATTTAGGCTTCGTATTCCAGTGAGTGATAACGCTTCCACTGAGAATCCACGCATATATTCAGCTTACAAGTCCTAAATTGGATGAGACGCGAGACTCGGATACTACCACTGTAAGCCATTATCAATCAAATATCTCAACATGTTCACCGTAAAGGCGAGGTGTCAGAGTACTCATTAGGGAGACAAGCTGAGCTAACTGAGACTGAGCTGAATAATGAAAAACTCTTGTTCATTTCGATGTTTTTTTTGTCTTTTCTTTTTCTTTCTTTCTAAATCTAGATTAGCTGACAAAAGTTATCACCAATGTGGGATGATTGGTATTTTATCCTATGGTAAAATGTCAGCTTAAAAATCATCATCACTATCATCATCATCGGAGCGAAGTTTCTCAGGATTATTAGGTAAGCTTTTTTTTAAGAAAAAAGGGATAAGGTTTACGCGATTACATCACCATCATCATATCATAAGAAATAGTACCTGACAGTGTGTGAGTTCAGATCAGATGAAAAATACTCTAGTTGACTAAACAGATTCTACAGTAAAAGGATGATTATTTTACCAATATGACTATTCATTAATATTTATGTTATATCGATAGTTGATCCCTTATGTGATTGAATATTCTCTCTCTGTCTAATTACTAACAGACTCAGTCTACAAACAGTAGGTATGTTTATTTTGATGAAAAATAGATGCAGACTCTTCAAGTATTTCTAAGTATTTCACATAGAGATTTTCCTTGTTTTACTTGTCTCCAAGTAGAATTTTCTCATGTATGTCGAGTGTTGTACATGCGCACTGACACAATACTGTGAAAACGATGTGATGACTCATCAAAATCTAAAAAGAAGACGGAGGAACTTCCTTTCCATGTCGAATGTTACAGAGTCAACTGTGAAGCTGTGCTCTTTCTGTACGAATGTATTATATTATATTATTCAACTCAAGTCTTCATAGGGAAATATGTGTCTTTTCAATACACCGTCGTTACATTCCATTATGTTGACTGATTTCAGTAAGAGAAGCGGTTGAACAGAGAAGACATTTGTTTGATTCCACGACCTAGGAACTAACTGAGGAGTACCTCTTAAAAGTCACACCGAACTAAATTGGCGTGTTTCCTCTTGGTATGATGACATTTATGTCATTTATGATGTTATGTAACTAACTAGTGATAGGTATCACAAGAATCTGTCTGGGAGACAAATTTCCCCTAATATATATTTATTTTCAGGTAAGCTGGATATCATATCAGAATGACATATGTCAAATACTTTGCCGGCATTTTCAAAATGCGTGTTTTATATTTCTTCATGGAACTGTCGTTGTCAAAGTGAATAATATTTAACTTAATAATTTTTAAAATACTTAAGTTAATTACTGGAAAAGTGAAATTTCATTGTTTTTTGTTGTGTTTTTTTTGTATTTCTCATAGGTCAGTTTTCTCTTCAGACTAGATTATTTCCAATAGATTCATATTACTGAAATCATTCAGTAGTACACCTCGTAAGTTTGTCATGTTTTAATATGAAAACTTGGTTGTTTCTTGTTTTTTGTTGTGTTTTTTTTCAATGTGTGATGTTATTTTTGGTGGCTTCTAGCAGCAAGTATGAATTGTGTACTATGTGAATTGTTTGCAAACTGAGGTTTATTTAGGCATCAACAGTCCACCCACTAGGGCATAAAATTAGTAGACGTGAGAATTGTTCGTAGGAGCATATTATGATTTCAAACAGGAACTTTGTTGTCGACTCCTTGATCGTTGAGTTTCTACAAACAATGGATCACTCATCCATGAAGAATTTCAGTGTAGGCCTTTGAGCTTACTGATAATTGACTTACCTTATGAATTATTCATACAGTTGAAAGTATCACTGCTGACAGAGGCGTTCGCGAATAAAGTTCTACATGGGTTAAATTTACACTTAAGGTAATAGCTTGGTTTGAAAGACTAATTTCCAGGTAGACTAGGTATAAGTGTGAGCAATTTTTTTAAAAATCTCAGTTTAGGAGAGATCAATGTGTTGGTCTCTGTAGACCTACATCTTACTGACCGAGATATTTTAAAACCAAATGAAATTTTTACACAAATTACGTAGATTCGATAGATTAATTCACGTAACTAACTGTATTGTGCGTCGGTGGCATAGCGGTTAGGACGCTCGCCGACACACTCCTTTACCTGGCTAAGCCAGAAATAATACTGGTAAAGAGGGAGGAAAGGTTGGGCATGAGGCTAGCAACCCCATCCTGTATGTAAAAGTTAAACACTGCTACAGAAACTTCAAGCCTTGTAGATTGAGGCCCTATGTTCCACTGGGGAACGTGAAGGAAAAAAAACAAACTGTATTCGAGTTCTTCGTAGAAATTCGACTGCTTGCTTCTCTATTTGATTTGTATATGTTGCTGTGATGATGACTATTGTATATCTTTGATAATAACCGCATTAATCACTATGAATGTATATACATATATATATGTGCACATGTAGACTCTTACTAATTGAATATTTCTACATTATAGAAGTGCAAGAAATCAGCTTCATTTTACCATTGTGTTCAACTGTTCCTCTGTAAAGAAACTATGTAATTCGATTCATCTTACTGTGAGCAGATTCTGTGAGCAATTAAAAAACAATATACGCATATCTATATCTATATCTATTTGTACATTTTATTTGGCTGTACTCTGTGATAAAAAATGCAAAGAGTAATCTAACCAAAACTATTGGGAATAAATTTTACTTTTTATTTACAGTTAGAAAAAAATTTATACGTTCTGGTAGAATTAACAGAACAAAACGAGAAACTGGTTATAATAAGCAGTAATTGGATAATCGGGGATCAAGCCGTTTTTTCACAGCCTATAGATGAATATTCTTTTCTAGAGCACAGTGAACCACAACCAGGATCATCATTTCATCATATTAAGATAATCAAAACATTTAGTAAGAATATAAAATTGTTCATTTCGCATTTTATTTTGCATTTATTTTTCCATTAGACTCTTATGCATGTGCAAAAGCAGAAATGGAAAATTACAAATCTTCAAAACTGTCATCTGAAGTATCACAGGATAAATCTGATAAGGCGGTTAAAACAATAAGGAAACCAATCTTTAAGTAAGTTTTTCTTAATTCTCTGTGTTAACCTGACTTTTTTTTTAAAAAAAAAAATAGATCTAAACCTCCTGATGTTGATTACTATCCGTCTACTTCATCGTCTTCTTCTACAAGAGGTGAGGAAATCTCCACCTCAACCTCACAGTCAGTTGATCAGCCTTCTTTAGAAAGAATAGAAAGTACTTCCACGACTTCTGAAGATACTAGTGAAGGTGATTCATTGTTATATATTAATGGATTATTATTATTACTATTTTTATTGTGTTTTTCTTCTGGTTACATGTATTTTAACTATCTACTTAGGCAATCATTTATTGAATTATTCCTTTATATTCCCCTTTTCTGTTTTTCAGTGCCTTTTCATGAAGAGATTTGATTACAAGATATCGTTAAAACATATGTGGACAGTATACAATTCATAAAGCTATTCAAAACTAGCATTACTATTACTATTATTACTACTATATACTGACTATGCAGGCATTCTATTCTTACAGATGTCGCTTTGACATTTACCTCTGAGACGAAATTTCATGTACAAATTTAATGCAAAATGTGTAAAATTAAAGCTTACTTTAAAAAATAAACACTTCATCTTATGAAATCCGTGTTATATATATTCCATGAAGTCACTGATGATAATAATAATTGTAAAGTCTGATAATTGAATTGTTTGAGTTGTTTTGTGATCATATTCATCCCTTCAACGAGCCTTTAAACAGATTGAATTGATGAGATTAAGACGTTTTTGTTTTAGAGCAAATGTAATCAGCAGGATAATGAATACATAGCTGATTTTTGGTTGTTATTGATTTTTATTTCAAATTTAATCGATCTGTCGTGTAGCTTTGACTAAGTTTAAGCTACTAATAAGCGTAGTATACTCGACTGGTAATAAATAGCCTTTGGTAATCAGAATTATGATGTTCAGCCGAAAATATCCTGTCATTCTGGTTGACACATTAATACATACATACATTCATATATCGTAGACGAACTTTTATACTGTTCGGCTGTCAGTATTTAACTGATGATATGGAGGTTTCATACATTTATTCCCCTTAATAAATTTGAACAAAGCAACAACTACAGTTTTAGCAGAATAAAAGGGTACCATCTTTTATTTCATCGCCTTCTCGTCAGCTGCTTACAGGGCAATGACATTAATAAATGTATCTACAAAAACAATTTAACATACTTGCACAGAGTTCATTTTAAATTGTTTTCGTAGATACATTTAATAATGTCTTTGCCCTGTAAGCAGCTGACGAGAAGGCGACGAAATAAAAGATGGTACCATTTTATTCTGCTAAAACTGTAGTTATGGCTTTGTTCAGATATGGAGGTTGCTTAAAGATCCTGTAGCTGATTAGTCACACTACCTAGATGACTGTTCCAATATTATAGGGACTTTACTGAAGTGATGTTACTGCTTTGTAGGTTTAATGTAAATCATTTGCAGTTACGCATATCGCGTAAAATTGTACATTGTAGGACTTTCTTGCGACAAGTATTGATAAACTGTGTACTTCGTAGTGTCAATTGTTTCAATTTATAACGTATGTGACGGTGAGATTTCAAATTTAGAAGTGTAAGCTCAGTAGCAGGTAGATTTTCCCGACGAACTAACTGAGATACGCCAAGTTAAGTAGACATGTTTTGAAGTAATGCTTAATATATGTATATGGAGAGAGGAAAACTTGAGTAGTGTAAGGATTTGAAATCGGTGGTAAAACTGAGAAAATATAATTTGAGTGATGTATAGTTATAATTCTGATTTGGCTTATCAACTTTGATAATTTCAAGGTATTAAGTTTGACGAAATAACTGGCCAGTGTGCTTTGTCATTTCCAAAATGAATTTGTGAATGGTTTGTTGCTTTCAAAGCAGTTTGATATCTGCAGATACGAGCACTACAAACTAGAGAGTCTCCATACTTTGTCCCAGTGTTTAGAAGTCTAAGCTGAGAATAAACAGTTGTACAGTATTCTCCCGTCTTCAGTGTTCTGTTCAGCTAATGTCGCTCCATAATTGAAACCTGATGTAGGTGAATCATACTACATAATCATACATATACACTGACATCTCTTATTCAAGAGTTTTGAATTAAAGTGTCCTGTTGTCGTAGACGAATGGGTCTTAGAACATATGGAATGCCTAAATGAATTGATAATCGCCAACCATGGTTCAGTGCTGATATGAAGTTTTCAGTTCGAGAAACATTCGTATACTGTTCCATAGTCTTGCAGCTAACCGTTTATTTGGGTTTAATCAAGACCATTTGTTTGAACTGGCTAACTTCAGACGACTAAACTATCGATCTGGTGTTCAGATTAATGTAATTTATTCAGACGATGCAAATGATGGCTGTTACCGTGATTTTCGGGAATATATACCATTCATTAACTACACCCATGTATCATAAATGATGAACTTTGGTTGTTACTGAAAGACTTTCAATGAATCATTATAGTTGTACAATGATTGGAATGCCTAATATTGTTTGTCCTCCGATCTAGAGGTAATAATGATCTCTCTAATGGTAGGTGAGGTCATTTTGACTCTGCAGTTGTACATAACATACACACGATTTGCATCACTTCACATGTTCTACCTACGGTATGCATCAGGATTAACAGAAGACACAAGTTCACGGCACCAGGCTATGGATAACACTCATTAAAGATGACATCAGAACTTTAGAGACAGTAGGCTAATCAAAACATTTTTAAGGTTTCCACATAAAATCAACCTTTGCATAAAATGCTTCGCTGTAAGAATAGTTTGTAAAGGAGTTGTGTCTGTGATACACCTTGGTGGATTATTAGACATCTGATTATTATTCACCATTCAGATGCTTATCAAAACTTCTCTTCTCTCTCTCTATCTGTGCGGTGATACACGACTTGTGGTTTGGTCAAACCATATTTCTAGCCTGCCGTCAGTTGTAGATACTATGAAGTCAAATATTCATCATAAAATAAGCTGATGCAGCTTGCAGGAGTCTCGTTTTAAAACTGGTGTCCTCTGATAATCTGAATTTCATCTCTCACCGTTAAAGTTCTTTCAGTTTATTTCTCATAGGAACTGTGAGAACTGTGGCTTTCTCAGCTATATTACATCTAGTTGAGAATTAAATACCTGCTGTTGTATAGTTACAAGAACCACTTTTAGTACTTGGGCGTTTTCATCGTCTTAAAAGTATCAGGTAAATAGAAATTTTGTCATCCAGAAATCTGATATTCAGTGATTTGTGATGTATACATCTAGATTGAGGCTGTTCAGTAATTCTCAGAAAAGCAGAATCCCTTCTGATAAATTCCACCGATTATGAAATCACTCTGTAGAAGGCGATTAGGTCTGCATCAGTAAGTTGACGCGTTTTGTAAACATCATTATTCCTTGAAATCAAATTGTCTACAGATATGATCGCCCACGGAAGACTGCTTGACTTATACTTTTAGAAGACATGAAGATTCCAACCTACTAGAACAACCAGTAATAGAGTGTTAAGCACCAAAGAATACAATGATTCACAAGGTACTAACGTGGTTTCTTCAATGAATTTCAATGAAAAGGATTTTAAAGCCGAGGAAAATTATTCACTGGTAAGTTCTAATGAAATTCTAGTTCATCAACATGCGAAGATTTATCTAATTTAACATTGCCAGCGATATGTAGAGTATTCACTGAATAACGTGGTTACTGAACTGAAATTACAATTAATATATACCATTCAGGTCATTTCAATCCATCAACAATATCTTGTAATTAATTAACTACTTATTGTATAAGTCAGTAATATATAAGGGCAGAAGGGTTCCTGTCTAAAGCATCCAGGAATAAAGAAACACGTAATTCGGCTTCTAGGACGTAAAGCAGTTAAAATCCAGTTATAAGAACCAAGATAGATTTCATTTGTTAATTCCGCTGCCCTTCCCCACAGTCACACACTCACCTGCTTAGCAAGCCCCTATGAATATTATTTGGCGCGTGTTGACGATCCTATTTCACTTGTCTAACTAAATGAAACTGATAAAGGTTGAATAACAATCACTCAGGCTTCCTCTGTATACAAAGTGGAGATGATTAATTAAACCATGATATTGAGTATATGCTTCTAGGATATCAAGGTGAAAATCTCACCGTGAAACTTATGACACTATCCCTTACAATAAATTACAAGATTTTCTAAATTGTTTGCTAATTTGATGATGCAGTGTTATTCACTGGATACCATTTCTATGGCACTTCATTACTCCTACTTTGATGTGATTATGAGTAGTAAGTCATTCTCAATACCATCCATCACACAATATCACTGTGGGAGTTATCGAATAAACGTATACTTGTTTGGAATTATTATCAACCATAGTACTGAAGCTGTACATAAAACTAAGTTAACCAATATGAGCAGGATAGGTGTTGAAAAGTTGGAAGCAGCACACAGAAGACCCTCACTGTGAATGCTTTTTAAGATGGTTTGTCAGGAAGTAATAAAAAAGGGAAAGAACAGTCAAACAGAATACAGATTAGATCAACTACCGGTGGTCAGTAACATGCTCGCTCCATATAATTATGTAATTCATGTGTCTAACGAAAGTTTCGAAGAAATGAAGGTAGCTTTAGGTCTATTGGTTTGAATTTGTAAAGTTTTAGTTGAAACATGCCGTTTTTAATCCGAAAGTGAGTAGTCAAGATACAATCAAAATGCTTTTTGTTGCATAATTTAATGAAGTTAGGTCACCATGGAACGAGCAAAGACAAAATGGTACGTGCAGATTGTTCAAAATACTTCAAAAGGTCTAAAGATCGGAAAAGAGATAATTAAATTAAGGTCAGCTAAGCAGTCGATGGCATATTAGTAGCCTAAGCTAGTCACTTGTCCATGAATAAATTCTTTGAAATAACAACGAAGCTCGGATTACACTCGTATGCAAACATTTGAGGGCCTACTAATCAGAATAGACTGCAAGGAATTACAACCGGACAGATGGTAAAAATAAAATGAGCCTACAAGTCACTGTAAATGTCTACGCATTAAACTAAAGTTAAACCGCTTCAAAGCTGGGATCATGATTGGACATTATTGAAGGTTCCTTAGTCGTGGTGTAACAGTGAACTATTGTTTCTTTGCGCTTTCAGTAGGCTTTGGTATAATGTCGATTGTTGAATGCACCCGCCTTGTTATTTTCCATACACTTGCTTTCCAACTGGAATAAAAGATTTCAAATTGTTCAGCTTCATAAGCGGTGGTGTTGTTTTCACAGAATGGGTATGCTAGCCTCATACGCATCCTTCCTTAATTTCCATAATTAATACCGTCTGGTAAAGTAGACGGGGTTAAGGAGTTCGTCGGCAGGAAAGTGAACCCTA